GTATTAAATATAGTCCCTTGTACGGATTTTTGACCAATGACCTTGAATAACATGGACCGAATAAAGTTGAAGTTCAGAACTATTTTTAGATAGCTCATCTTGTTTAAATAATATTTCACTAAGTACGCTTTTCTTCATTCAAAATAAAATGATGAAGTTGGTTATTATTACCATATTTGTATATCTTGTACCATGTGCCAGTGTTTAAAGTATGGACGGGGGGCAAATCGATCTGTTTCAATCCAATGAAATATTTGCCATCGAGCAATATCAATGTTGATAAGATAATCCATGTTAATTCTTTGACTGAAACTTAACTTTAAAAACTGGAAATTATGATAAAATATTTCATAATACAGAAAAATAAATCGGATACTTTCATCACCCACCTTTCACTTTCATTGATGCATAGAAAAGGGGAGATAACCCGTAAACCTAGTGACTACGTACTGACACTGTATGGATGGATAAATAAATTTCGGCTCACTCATTTATTCGATTTTTCACAAAAAGGAGGTGAATGATGACATATAATTATAGAGCTTTGATAACGACGCATATTGTGAGATGAACTCAAATATGCGGTATTATATACATAATAAAAGAATACACATATCACAACAATGGAGATAAAAACAGTATTCATGCTAAAAAGGCCAATAGAACAACACAAATCAGGAGCAAACAATGACCTTCAAAATATCAGAGGTGGGATCAGATGTCAGGGAGGAGGGAGCATCCTCTGCCTATCGGTAACACCCGCCGTGTGCTCCTTGTTCGAAAACTAATGGAAAAATCAATTGACAATTCAGTGTGTACATGTAAATAATAGCCCGACAATTGGTAGGGAAAACGTCAATCAGTATCTGACTATTTTCTAACAAGTCATCCTATCGATCATAGAACTTACGAAGTAATGACTTTAAACGAGAATGTTGATATTCCTGTGTCATCAACCTAATTGTCAATAAATTACATCGTACAATGTACCGATATGTATTCATAAATAGAACATGTCCTTGCTTATAGAAACAAATTCCTCTCTAGAGTAAAGATTCTGTTGGCCAAACCTAGCTTTTGTAATTTAGGGAAACAATACTCTATACAATTATTGTTAATGAAAGGCTGAGCATGTTCTTCTAATTCTTTGGTAATACAAATGTAAAAGTAAAAACTAAAGTTAAATAATTTAGTTTATATCTATGTTATTCCATCTGTATCATTTTTTTTCATTTTTATTGTATATAATTTTAAATGAAATTTAAAATCTCTACAATTACATTAAACAATATGAAGTCCAAAAGAATTTTTTTTTCAAATTTTGTTTTTTAGTACACATTATCGATATAGGACGCGTGCCAGCTACAGCCTTAGAAGACGCTGTTGTTATGGATACACAGGAAGTTACTGTGATAATCGTATGTATTTTGCAATTGAGGATGTTTAAAGCTTTATGGTCAGTATAATGCATTATTATACATGGATATCAATGATATCCATCATCTATATTATTTCAAATACGTTTATTATGCGACTTGAATAATAAAGATTGATTGTATGTTGTTTAACGTCCCTCTCAATAATTAATACTGATATGAGGAAGTCGCCACATGCCGGTTGAGAGCTACAAATTTTGTCCTATACTCAGCACTCAGGACCATTGATCAGTGAGCAACCCTTTTCTCACCAGAATCCACGTCCCACAGTTTTCGAACCCATGACAAAAGGATCGACATACGTGTCGTTGAGTTTGAAAAACCAAACATTTCACGGATTAAAAGTCGAATTAAGGGAAATGTAAAATAATTTGTTGCAAGGTATCATTTTTAAAACATCTACAACGCTATAAATACGGGTCGGTATGAGATCAAATTTTCCATAAAACCCTTTGGGCTTCATTGAATTTGATCTCGTGACCAACCCTGTATTTATATCCCAATTAAAATGATACTTTATTTTTTAAATACAATATGTAGCATATGTACTGAAATAAGTTTGCATTACTGAACATTTTGTAAATTATTTGTCATACTTTCTGGTGTGCCTTATTACATATGTTGAAGAATAGAAGAGTAAAATGACGATTATTGATTTTTCAAATAATCTTTTGCCTTGTTCCAAAGTTGAAAGTAAAGAAAAAATCTTTGCTTGCAAATGTACAAACCAAAGAAAGACCCAGATTCAAGATCTTTCTTGAACTATTGAGCTGTAGCCTTTCGAAAATATGGCAATATTAAAAAAAATAGCGGCCGTTATAAGTTATATTTTCAACCTTCTTATTCCTTTTTCTCTGCTACAGATTTCCGCTTAATTAAGTATTTTATCGGGAAATGGGGAACATTTACAATATATATGACTGATAGAGATATTATCATCTTTTATTATAATTCCTATTGGATTTGACAAAATTCAAACAGGATTTTTCAGATTCCTGCAGATATTCATGAAAATTCCTGGGAATGTTTTAAATTCCTACAGGAAATTCCTTTCTCCCAAGGGATTTTTTTAATCAAAGTTGATACTCTCACCTGATAGGTGAGATACACACTTGCAGAAGTAGATATGAAGTCTGTACATCAAGATTTATCAGATGACATATTTGATTTTGCTGAAAACTGAATGTTTGGCGGGCGCCAATTTGCCTCTTGTAAAGTAGCATTTTTATCCTGCACAGTGGTGATATATTTTTATTAGATATACGTGTATATGAGATCAAGCAATTGGTTCAGTTCAGTAAATACAATTTATGACTACAAATGGTCCACATCGTCTTTTAGCTTTTTTCAAAGTTTCAAGTAACTTTTAATTAATATTGACGCCTTCTTACAAGTCATCTAGTTTGATTCCCTCTCCACTCCACTACGACCATAAAGAAAAAATTTTCAGCTATCCTTGTTCCCGTTATAAAATTGTTACGTATTTCAAATAAAAGTGATTTTCCATTGCTAAACTTTGGTTTCATTATAAAAAGTAGTAATTTTGTTTTTCTTCTGTATTTTGAAGAGACTGTATATAAAGTACAGACTGATTTACATGTAATGTTGTTTTTCTTTGTTTGTTTGAAGCAATATGCAGCTGCAAAAACGGTGGTATTTGTATAGCCCCTAATGTTTGCAGTTGTCCAGTAGGATACGCAGGAATCTTATGCCAAACACGTAAGATCTTAAAATGTTCTTCGTGGTGTATTGTAGAAAATTACTTTTAGCTATATATGTTCACTTTTATATTGAATTCAAAAGAAAAGTTTTCTTATAATTATAAGTTATTTTCCAGTAAGATGTCATCCTGCTTGCCAGCATGGACACTGTGTCAGCCCAGACAGATGTAGCTGTAACTTTGGATATACGGGAGCTGCTTGCTCTCAGCGTAAGTTTGTCCCTCACATTGACGTCAAGGATACAATAATAATTCTTTTCACCGATAGCTTAAAAATTAGCAATAAAATGTATAGTTATTATGTTTATTCTGCTTTCCAGTTTTTCTTTTGTGGAAAAAAGGTAAAAGATCTTGGATAGTGGGTGTTGATAGTAATTAACATTTTAAAAAAAAACGGAAAGCCAATTATTTATATTATATTGTTAAAATCTGAAAAACTTACGTAGTTATCTCTTTTATCGGAATTATATGCATTCTCTATACTCTCAAAATGTACAATGTTTCGACCCAATTTAATAAAAAAAATATTTAACCCTGTTTAATTAGTTTAAAAATACAACAAATGTGCATTTAGTCAGTCACTTTTTCTCCTCGCAATGTTTGTTTGCGTTATTGAACTACTGAACATCAAAAATGGTCTTACGTTTATTGAGTATACACTATCGAAATAAACAATTATGAAGAGGGAAAATCAGAGAATGTAAATATAAGCTTTGAATTCATATTTTGGATGCCATCGGTCCTATAACACACCGCGGTTTGATAATTTGTCAGCACGACCAGGTGTATCATAGGACCGACGACTTCCAAAAATATGAATGCCATGCTCACAGTAACTGATAAACAGCATACTGTATACTTTTCTTAACTTTTAAGGAAAAAAATCCATTTCAATCCTAACTGTGCAAGGTATGCGATCCCTACACTCTTAGTTAACAGAAGTTTATTTACAGCTATATGCAATCCACCGTGCCAATCAGGGGGAACATGTGTAAGCATAAACACCTGTCAATGTCCATCAAATCAAGCAGGACCACAGTGTAATCAACGTAAGTTGAGCTTTTTGTCATGATGTCATGACGTGCTTTTATCTAACTGCAATATATTTGAGTGATATATGGTTAGGAATGTCAATATTCCGCCGATAAATGCATGGCTGAAAAATAGCCGACTCGGCTTTAAACAATTTACAATAATAAAATTATTTTATTTATTTTTTTCAAGTGCTATCCTGCACATACTTCGTATTTCACACAAGAAAGTCATAGAAAGAAAGAAGCAAACGACGCTTTACAATGATTTTGTCTTCATTATATCACTTATTTATCTATTTTAATTACAACACATGTCCGTAACCTTTTTTATCCAATTTCTGATTGATTTTAGAACTCATTTTTGAGTATGACCCTTGGCAAAATCAATAGGGGTCTTGCTTAGGCCACAGGGAGTAAGGTTGTTATGTAAAATTTCATTGCAAAAGCTCAAAAGGTTCTTGAAATATCGCGCGGAAACAAAAGTGTTATAATAGACAGAATTTGCAAAATTTATTACCTTAACCTTTGACCTTTTGACTTTAAAATCAATAGGGTTCTTCTTTAGTCCATAGGAAGTTGCTATGCAAAATTTCATTGCAAAAGCTCAAAGGGTTCTCTAGATATCGTGTGGAAACATAGGCACCGGTTTTCCCTTCAACAAGCCATCGCACTAGAGATTAAATTGGGATCTTACGAATGAGACTTTAAACTGAGATTCCATGTCAGAGTAGGCGTTGATAGAATTAAAAACTCACTGCCTATTGACCCTTAGCTCCTTCTAAATGTCTTAATTGAAACCTTTCACTGGTATATTGAAAAAACAATATAATTTTTTTTCTTTTTTCTGTTTTTTGTATGATAGAATTTATGTAGGAAAAAAGCTGATAAAGGAATACATAGCCAAAGTATATTCAGTAATAATGCGACCTGTTAAGAGTGTGTGGGATAACTGTTTGATGTTTGTTTTTTTAAGAGAGCAAAGCTTTAGAGAATAATTTTAATGATATTTAATAATAACTAGAGGTATTGTAAGCAGTGAGCTCACTAAATGATACCCCTTCCTCTCATATGAATATAATGACAGTGTCCATGTTTTGCTACGGGAAACCAAACATATGTAACGGATCAAAAAGTAAAGTAGGAGGTGCACAATGACATTATGTAATAAAGATTCTCTGAAAGTTTCATCATCAAATTTCATTCAGTGATATAAAAGGAGTTGCGGATAAGAGATGCCAGTACCCCAAAGCGTAACAGACGGATGGACGGACATCCTGATTATATATACGTACCCTCCCGCTTTTCAAGCGGTGATGTATTAAATATTATATAACGAAACGTGAAATTGATTCGATATGTACATTTATTAAATCCCGTGTCATTTGTTTGTTGTGTGTTTATTTTTGTAAGTTAAGCTTTGTAGAATCAAAAAGGATTATAAAACTTGATTGATATTAATATCTTTACAAGTTTATTGTATAATTTATTAACTTCAGATCTTTTGTTGTGTTTTTTT